CAATGCAAAAAATCAGCCGAGAGACAGCTGGTATCTCAAACAACTCGTTAGTCGGGACACTCATGAGTCAAGGCCCCACGGTATTTGTTTGTGATGAGGGAAACTTTATATGAAATTGAATTAAAACACTAAGATGGAAGACTTCATTGTAATTTGTGTTTTTGGAGGGAGAGAAAGACTGCTCTTTGGTCCAGCCATCCTAAATCTTAACAACTCCTAAACGGAGCTTCACTTCTAGACACGTCCTGTTAAAGCCACACACGGCCAAGCACAGCGGCCACTCCTGGTTCCTCTCCTTCCTGCCATGGCAGACGGGAGGTGTGACGCACGTTTGTTGAATGACTGTGTGTTCCCAACATTCTGCTAGCTTTCATCTCTTTATCCTGCTCTTCCAATACAAGGTGGGGGCAACCTAGGTTTACAGTTGTTCGTGTGGAAAACGACATGCAGGTTATGATGATCACAATAGCTTCATTAACTTTGTTTTGCAGACTCACAACTGTAAACGTGTTTTTTGCCACGCCTTGTAATAAGGGTGAAACTTATATGGAGTCCAAAGCTATAGTTTGATAAGTGAAATTATTATTTTTTAATTTTTTATTATTATCGTTAATCCTCACCTGAGGAAATGTTTATTGATGAGCGAGAGAGAGAGAGAGAGAGAGAGAGAGAGAAACATCTACTGGCTGCTGCCCACATGTGCCCCGACAGGAGATTAAACCTGAAGCCTAGGTATGTTCCCTGCCTGGCAATCAAACCCCCAACCTTTTTGGTGTAGGGGATGATGATACAACCAACTGAGCCACCCAGCCAGGCTGATAAGTGAAATTAAATACCCTTCATATTTGGCAACGTTTTCCAGACTTAACAATGCCTCAGAGATAAACACCTTCATTTTTAAAATATTTCTAAGTCATCTATACTAGAGGCTCCTGGGAATCCTACATAATCAAATCCACCGTTTTTTGCAATTAGTATTTAAAGCATTTTCTTCAAAGGTTATAGAAATAATTGCAATAGTGTGCTGAGGTGGCCCTTGCCAACTCTTCGTTCAGTGACCTCATGTTAGTAGCTTGATGTCAGCTCTGGGGGAGACTTTAAATCAGGGAAATTGAAAAATGCTACAGATCCAGGTTCCCTTCCCACCTCTGAGAGCTGGTTTTTAAACATTTGCTACCATTCCACTGAATAATTGTCTCACATATATAATTGTAGGCTACATTCGTGGTATCATGATTTTTAAAAATTAACTAGTTCTGTGTTTATTTTTATTAAAAAAAAAACAAACCAACAGGAAGTACCAGTAGTCACAGCCACTCTGAAGAAGAGAAGGAGAAGGTCAAGATTTATTACTGGAAGAAAAACCAGTTCATGCATCTGTGAAACAGGCCCAAAAGAATGTAGAGAAAAAAATGACAAATATAGAAGTCCTCGACACCCATGGACTCCTGGTCGGAACCCATTAAAATTGACTGTCAATTCCTCAAAGAGAAAAAAGCAACTATGCATGTGTGTGTTAAGTTTAGATGCTAGAAAAAGAGACCACGAATATAGTGGTTTAAACGAGGGAGAAGCTTGTTTTTCTCTCAGGTATATTGCTTCCATCTCGGAGTCTAAGGTGAGCTTTCCGGCTCCTACCATCACGTGCATAGCCCAGAGATCTAGAAGGGGAAGAGGGGGAAAAGGCAAGGGCACCCTTATTCATTCCTTTCAAGGGCATGGTTCGGAATTTGTACATGTCCTCTCTGCCCTCATTCTGCTGGCTAGGCCTTAGTCACATGGCCATACCTGGTACAAAGGAGGCTGGGAAATGTACTCTCTAGTCAGGCTTCCACATGCCCAGCTAAAGCCCTGGGTTCCAATAATTGAAGGAAGAAGGGCAGAATGGGTATTTGTGGTAAAGCTTCCCCAAAGATGTCCCAAACGCATTCCCCACTAACGGAATAACTATGGCTGGGACTTGTGTGAGCTGAGACTTGAAATCAGTCTGACTGAAACCAACACACCTGCTCTTAAGACACGACCCGAGAAGACGTTACCGGAGGTTTCCAGAACATCCCAGAACATCGCCGCTCGGAAGAGGATCAGAGTAATGCTTACGGCCTAATATTTATGTGAACAACATAGAGATCTCAAATATGATCTCTAGGCGTTAAGATTCATTAGGCTGCACAAAGCAAAAATCAATTAGACTCAACTTAAGCAACTAAATAAAATAATTTTATTCATTCATTTATCAGAAGGGCAGGATCCCAGTAAGTTTCCCAAATTTCAAGAGGAACAGAAGTTGGGGATCCAGAACAAATGAACAAACAAGACAAATAAACAGGAGCTCATCCTATATAATAAAACCCTAATACGCAAATCGACCAGATGGCAGAACGACCAGTCGCTATGATGCGCACTGACCACCAGGGGGCAAACACTCAATGCAGGAGCTGCCCCCTGGTGGTCAGTGCGCTCCCACAGGGGGAGCACTGTTCAGCCGGAAGCCGGAAGCAGGACTCATGGCTGGCGAGTGCAGCAGTGGTGGCAGGAGCCTCTCCCGCCTCTGCTACAGGCAGGCAGTAAAGAGCGAGGGGTCCCGGACTGCGAGAACTCCGGCCTGCGAGAGGGATGTCTGACTTCTGGCTTAGGTCTGATCCCTAGAGGGATCGGGCCTAAGCTGGCAGGTGGACATCCCCCAAGGAGTCCTGGACTGTGAGAGGGCACAGGCCGGGCTGTAGGACACGCCCCCCCCTCCCCCCAGTGTACAAATGTCATGCACCAGGCCTCTAGTAGAATAGAACAAGCATGTGGTGGTCACCTGAGGGAAATCAGACCCACCCTGTGCCTTGGGGCTGCCTCAGAAGAAAGGGACTCACTGGGAGTAGTGCCGGCACCCCCAGAGGGTCCAAGGCACAGTAGGTTTCAGCAACATTTACAAATGGGATCAGGCAATAGGAGAATAAATTGGAATTTTGTATTGAAACTAAATTTAGCAATTTTTGCATTTTAACAAACTGTGTTATATAAATTATTAAGTGTGATTCAGATATAGCACAGGTCATTGACATTGACTAGGGTCAAACTGTGGATCTAGGTGATAATTCAAGGAGTTTAATTTAATACTTCTTAAATTTTAAGGTGTGAGGTTACTGTTCTGGTGACACTGCTTGGGGAGAGGGAGGGGCACCTGTGTGCGGGACACCATTTGAAAATTTACTTTCCGAATCATGAAGGTGTCATGGAAGTTACATTACAAGGAGTTTAAAAAGGGGAGGGAAACATCACCCATGATACCACTCCCTTAGTTAGGTCCTTCTTGTCACTTTAGTTGCCATTACAGCATTCATGCAGTTTTCAACCTGCTTTTTTCATTGTCATGAGCATGTTTATGTTGCTCACAATCACGACATTTATTAGCAACATGAGAATATACTCTGTATGAAATGAACAGACTTGGCACCAGGGGAAGTAAAGTTGACATTTTTGTCAAGAAAATACTGACCTGATGCCAACTGCCAGCCTACCTGATTTCTAAGGGTCGCCTATTTCTGAATTCTTTGTGGCCAAGCTCTTCCTGCCTGTCCTACTGAGAGATTTTCAGATCTGTTGCTTCGAGGTAGGAGTGGACAAAGCGTAGAAAGCAACGTTGGTGGGGCAGGAATGGGGAAGGAATGGTCCGGACATCTAGGTCAGTGGTTCTCAACGGAGGGCAATTCCCCCACCCACTCACACCCGGAGGACACTTGGCAATGTCTGGGCAGGTGTGTGGTGGCCAAAACTGGGGGTTGGGCAGCCATGTTGCTGGCATCTAGTGGGAAGAGGCCAGGGATGCTACTAAACATCCTACAATGCACGGGACAAAGAGTTACCCCAACCAACACATGAGCAATGTCAAGGTTGATGGGCTCTGACCTAGACTGCCTATAATTTCTTTTAACATGGTAATGGATAAGCCCTGCATATGTTCTATGTTGTCTGATTCGGGAAGGATTCTGGAATTTTTGCTCAGGGTGATGGGTTTGCAAAATACTTGAAATATAACACGAGGGAAGAGAATGCAGTGGCTAAGCATAAAGACTCTGAAATTTAAGAGTTTAAATCCTGGCTCACCAGGTAAGCCCTCTGAGGATGATACCTGCCTCCTGGAGCTAAAATGGGGATTACATGAAGCAACGTGTCTAAAGCACTTAGCACAATGCCTCACATGTAGTAAGTGTGCAATAGATGGTGGTGGTGATTACTACTGTGCCAACACGCAAGTTCACAGTAGGTACCAGTCCTCCAGCCTATAGACTGCAACTGCATTTTGTAATCTTGTATTTTAGGAAAAATAGACTTTAACTGATTTTTGTAATCTGGGCTTTAGAGACCGAGGCAATGTATGCGAGATACACGATCAACATAAATTTTACAGGAAGAACTTCTTAGGTGAGAGTTGTCTAATTGAAATCTCTCATATATTTTCTCTGGTGGATTTTTAAAAAAAATATTTTTTATTGATTTCAGAGGGGAAGGGAGAGAGAGAGAGAGAAACATCAATGATGAGAGAGAATCATTCATTGGCTGCTTCCTGCACGCCCCCTATGAGAGACCGAGCCTGCAACGGGACAGGTGCCCTCACCGGGAATCAAACTGTGACCTCCTGGTTCATAGGTCAACACTCAACCACTTGAGCCACACCGGCTGGGCTCTGGTAGATTAAAAAAAAAAAAAATTACTGCAGTGGTTGTTCTTATTCATTGAAAAACACTTGTTTTCTGGTATTCTTGGTTAAGCTATTTTGATCTACTGAGAATTTTAGAGTGGGCCTAGCTTCAGTAGGAATCATGTCTCCTACACTCTAAAATTAGGGGAGATGGTCTGATTAATTCTCAAAACCTCACCGCATCATGCTTGATTCCAAGGGCTGGAAAGGTGTGTAAAGCATTACTTTTCTTGATAAAAAGTAGCAGCCACTCTTATATGGTAATTATGACATAAGTCCTTGTGTTTCACATGCATTTATTTCGTAGGCCTCATCAAACCTGTGAGGATGGTCCTGCTGTTTTCTCATTTGACAGGGGAAGGGAGGCTCAAGAGGTTGTGACACGCCCCATGCCCCAGGGCGGGTGAGTGTGGGAGCGGTGCCCAGTGGAGGCGATCTGGCTGCAGGTTCCTTCCCTTCCTGACCAGTAAGCGATACCTCTCGGCCAAGGACCGAAACATTTCACAAACATTTCACTTTGGGTTTTGGTGCCATCTCCTGGAAGACCTCCAGCCGCGTAAGCTCAGTCTGTACCTGGAGGGAGTCCTTGCATCACCTGGTCCGGCCCCGTCTCACGGATGAGGACCCTGGGCCTCAGGCGAGTTTGGGAACCTGCTCTGAGCCCAGGTCATTGGTTCTCAGCACAGTAGCTCTTCCGCAACCACACTGTTCACCCCCATCCCTTCATGGGGGTCAGGCCATGCCCTGAGCCGGTACCGAGGCCCCTTCTCTAGCCTTGATGGATGCTGGCAGAGCAGACGAGGCCCCGTCTCCTGACCACAGAGACAGGTGTCTGTGGGCCACAGTCAGCAGGCCACGGTCGAGGCTTTGAAGGGGAATAAACTCGGTCCCTGTTCGTCCGAGCGAGGCCCCAGGGTCTGGACTCCTTAACTCAAAACGTAGGCCCCGCCGGGTCAGACCGCGGGGGGCGCCTTTCTGCTGATCCTCCCACCTCCATCTGTTTGTGCCGAGATGAAATAAACAGCTCCACCACTAAGGGAAGTGTTCAGAGCAAATGGGGATTCTTTATCGGAGAGGCAGCTTGACTGGGAACAACCCAGATGACTGATGATGACTTCCAGGGGAACGCACTTCGTGGCTGCTGCGTTGGAAGGGGGACTCTTCGCATGTGAACTGGGCCATCGCACAGCTCCGAGTCTAATAACTCAGTTAGCTCCATAGACGGTGAGGCGGTACGGAAGCTGGTGCAGCGTGCCCAGTAGGCAGTGCTAACCATCACTGCGCAGGGAGCTTGTGTGATCCTGGGCGGGCAGCAGGCGGCCCAGGCTGTGGAGAAGCCGCGGCGGAGTTGGGCGCTCCAGGGCCGCCACCAAAACCCTCGCAGAATCCCACCAGCTTTTCCCTTTCATTTGAACTCAGAAAACTCTCAGTTCAGCTCTCCAGATTTTAAAAATTAATTGTATTCGCTTAACACTTTTGGAGGGAATTTTAAAAACGTACACAAGTGTGGAGAGAGTAAGGAAGCCCCAAGCGCTCAACACTCCGCTTCGGCCACTGTCTCCCGGGCCCCTGTGGTTTCATCCGGCCTTCTCTGCCCGACAGGTTCATTTCATTGTTTGCTCATTTTTGCTGGAGTATTTTTACACTGAATTCCAGACAACATATCGTTTCACCTGTAAATACTTCCGGATTTATATCTCTAACCAGTAAGTGCTTTAATAAAAAGTATAACATGATACTGTTACCACAACCTAACATGATTGAGAAGTCCTTAACACCATCTAATATCCTGCTGTTAAGATATAATAGTATATTGGAATTCAGTTATTAGCCAATTGGCTCAATTTTCTCCACTTATCTAAAAAAATGTCTTTTTACAGTTGGTTTGGTTTAAATAGAATTTAAAGAAGCTCCACATTTTCCATTTCTTTGTATTGATTTCAGAGAGGAAGGGAGAGGGAGAGAGATAGAAACATCAATGATGAGAGAGAATCATTGATCGGCTGCCTCCTGCACGCCCCCTACTGGGAATTGAGCCCGCAACCGTGGCATATGCTCTGACCAAAAATCGAACCATGACCTCCTGGTTCATAGGTCGACACTCAACCACTGAGTCATGCCGGCCGAGCTAGAAAATAACATTTTTGATTGTTTGATTCCCATCCCTCCTTTTCCCTTCCATTCCTTCCCTTATTGGTGAGTTTAGATACATGAGACTGAGAGTATTTTCACAGAAAGTCTGAGAACTTGAGTTCTCATGTATCGATCCACAGGCCAAGTTGACATTGTTGAGCACACCCCTGTGCCTGCCCGGTGCAAAGTATATCCTATGTGTGGTCTTGCTCAATCCCCACACATCCCTGCGATGTAGGGTATTCTCTCTGGCTCCATTTTGGAGATGGAAAAACTGGGATTCTGAGAGGTTCAGGTTCTTGAGCCCATGCTCCAAGCCACCATGTCACAGATCTCCTGGGGGCTCTGTCGGGCCTTGTTTGCCTGTTTTCCAAGAATGTCCTCTCTTGGCTATAGAGTCCAACCTGGAGGTCATCATGGCTGTGGATCCATGGAACACCAGTCCCTGGAGATGACCCGTGAGTTCATGGTTCTGGCCAGAGAACAGAATAAATGCTCTGAAAAGGCCTGCAGCAAAGAAAGCTATTTAACTCAAAGTATCCCAAACATTTAGTCATGGAACCTCTCTTCCAAAATGAATGACATTTTGCAACCCCTTATCACTCCAGTAAGGAATATGATATGTCTGGTCCTAAGCAGGGCAGGCCAGAGCCCTGATTAAAGTTTGCCACACGCAATCTACCAAGTAGGTGAGCGAGACCACAGACTGTGTGATCCTAACAAAGGGAGAAGAAAGATGAGCGTGTTTATAGCACAGGAAGCAAAGCGAGGCCTCCCCGCAAGCTGTCGCCTTCCAGTCGCAGAAGCCTAATGTTCTAGGACTGTCTGGCTTTAATTATTCCAATTTATCTATTTGGAATTGACTTTTTCTCTGCCAGGTGCCCGAATTTCTGGCTTCCATCCATGAGACAGGAGCTGAAAACATTCGAGAATATCACAAAGGAACAGCGACCTGCCCCTGAAGAAGGCAGCTTCTGCAGCATCGCCAGCTTGCCAGGCCCCTAGTAAGCGTCCTGTTGTTGACGATGATTCTCTGTTACAGGAAAAACACATCAACAGAAGCTCAACAAGTGGTAATACTTTGATGTGAGGGAGCAGCCATTAGGATACTTCCCTCATAATTTTTGCCCTCTCTGGATAACATCTGTATTAGCACTCACAAGTGGTTTTTCTTTAAATCACCTCACCTTTTTTTAACATAAAGAAATATATCTAAATGGAAGTTTATAGTGCTTTATAAACAGAGAGCCACCATCCCTCTTCATAAAGGAGGAAATTTAAAAAAATTACAATAAAAATAAAATAGCTTGTCAAATTTAAAATATTCCAATTAAAAGAGAATAAGGAAAGCAAATAACACATCTAATGAATTGTTTTAAATGCATCCCTAGAAATCAAGAGGTATTTATTAAACTTGTGGGAGAGACATATGTTCATATTTTTTAAATTTTTCTAGTTGGGAAGGATAAAAGAGGGCAATTTAACTTTAGCCGCCAAATGACAAATGCGCACGCCCTTGACCCTGTCCTCCTCCTGCTGGGGGTTGATCTTATAGGTGCACTCTCTCCACAGGCCGAATCACGAGGGTACAAAGCTGTCTGTTACAGCATCGTCCATATTGCAAAAGATTAAAAACAACAAAACGACTGGAGGCCCCCCTAAACGCAATATGATACACACCCACACGATGGAATACCATGCAGGCGCAGACAAGAATGGCGCAGATCTTCATGTATCAACCGGAATGATCTCCAGGCCTTTTTATTTTATTTTTTTAAATGACAAAAGCCAGACGTATGTAGAGCAGTGTGTATAGCGAAGGCAAAAAATAAATATAAAACAAATCTACATATCTGCTTTGTCTGCATAAAATAAGACCCGGAGGACAGTGCAGAGAGCATCCATTGCTTCTGGGGAGGGGAATTGTGTGACGGGGGCAGACATAGTCGGGAGATTTTCCGCTGCACACCTTTTTTTTTTGGTAAGTTTTGAGTTTGAACTAGGTAAAGTAGGCAGAATAATGACCATGCAAAGATGCTCACCTTGTAATCCCTGGAACCTCTGAACATGTTGTGGCAAGGAGGAATGAAGATTGCAGGTGGAATTAGGGCTGCCAGTTAGCTGGTACTAAAATAGAGATTATCGTGGATTAGCTGAGTGAGCCCAGTGGAATCTCAAGGGTTCTTACGAATAAAAGGAGGAGACTAGAGAGTCAGTGTCAGAATGGTAAGTTTGTGTTTTTGGTTAATCCTGACCTGAGGATATTTTTTCCATTGATTTTTAGAGAGTGTGGAAGGGAGGTGGAGACACACAGAGAGAGAAACATTGATGTGAGAGAGACACATCGATTAGTTGCCTCCCTCTTGCACCCCAATCGGAGCCGGGTAACAAGCCTGCAACCGAGGTACATGCCTTTGACCGGATTCGAACTAAAGTTGGCCCTTTAGTCTGCAGGCCAACACTCTAACCACTGAGCCAAACCAGCTAGGGCTGTTTTAAGCTACTAGGTTTGTGGTAATTGGTTCCAGCGGTTACTTTAGATGCATACAAATGCACACTTTTATATATTTAAAGCATATAGCCGAATGGTTAAAAGTTTGGCCTTGGATACCAGAATTGCCCGGGGTTGCATCCTGGCTTTCCTAGCAATGCAACCTTGGGCACGTTGCTTAACCTTTTGTGCCTAAATTTCATCATCTATCAAATGGAAATCATAACATTTACTTATTTATGGAGTAATCCAGACCTCACAGGGTTGTTGAGAGGATTAAGTGAGTTAAGACAAGCACTTTCAACACTGCCTTACACAAAGAAAGTGACAGTAAATGTTGACTCCTCCTATAATGAATTATCCTCTCTAATTGGATCAGATGCTGAGAAAGCATTCCCACTGAAGATGATGCAAATAACCTTACTCAAAAACCAAAAAAACCTGTGCTTCAAGAACCAGCGGAGGGTATCTCCAGAATGCCTTCTTAAGAGGGGCTGAAGTTCTTTGGTGATGTCTTAAAGTGGCAGAACAGAGCCACTAAGCCACTGCCAATTTGGGGAAAATACTTATGAGAGCCTTTCAATTAAGTCTTTTCAGTGTCTCTTCCTAACGTATTTTCAGATGAGTTAAAATCTCAATTCTAAGTCTCTGCCTACTGCAGCTCATCGGTCTCGATGGTGGGATACGTACACACTTGCCACGCAACAGTCTTTGCAGTGTTTGGATGAGCCCATAGAATAATTTGTGAAACCAGGACCAGCCAGGCCTAATATCTCACAAAGGGAAAGTTTTCTATGAAAAATGAAATTCTTCTTGTCACTTAAATCAATAAACAGAAACTTCTAATCAAAAGACAGCGAGCTTCCATTTGGAGCCGCGGTTCTTGGTACCCGTTGATCATGTTGTCACACAGCTGAGGGAAAAGGTCAGGTGTTGAATTGCCTGCCGGTGACATGATGGAGAGTTTTATCAGCTTCATGAAGGAGGTGTCTTACATCTTCTTACGTATTCTGGAGGGTGACAGTTTCCTGTGCACACACGGACACTGAGGAGGTACAGGCTTGGTGCAACGGCTTGAATATGGGATGGGTCTTGTGCCACCAGCCACAGCTTCAGCCCACCCATGCCCACCCCAAACCCTTGCTCCCAGTCTGTGCCACGAGGGATCAGCAAGCGCCTGCCCACATTGGCCAACGTTGGCACATGCAACGTCTCCATGGACTTCTGCTCAGCTCACAGGCTGTCACCGTGACAACCCCAAAGGACACCGGGATTCAGGACATCCCTGGGTTGGCCAGTTCGCAGGGACTTCTGTCACTTGGCCATGCTGATAAATGGCTGCTTCCTATCGGCCCCCATTTCTGTATTTCATGCTGCTGGACAGAGGCGTCTTGTCAATCATGGTGCTTACGTTGCTGTGATCATCATTCACCAAATGTTTTTGGTGGCAGGACTGACACTTTGTCAATAAACTTGGCAGTTCCAGGCTTTGCAATTAAATGCAATGATGCACATTTGGCTTCCACAGATTTTACACTTTGATTCCTGAAACATTGTGTTCCAGTCCTAACACTAGACTGTTTTGATATGGTATTCTATGCACATTTCAAACTACAGGCTGTCCACTGCCAAAGGGATGTTGTGATTTATTACTGAAAAGAACACACGTCCATATAGGGATTTTGTGTTTGAGAATTCGTTCTAGCTAACAGCTCTTTTTTCCCTAGCACTTACAGCTAACGTATTATTTACTTGTTTATGGAAGTTATTTTTATGGTCTGTCGCTCCTCTCTTCCCACTCTGGAATGGAAGCTTCCTGAGGTGGTGATGTGTGTGTGTGTGTGTGTGTGTGTGTGTGTGCATGTGCGTGCGCACGCATGTGCATGCTTAAATATTTACAGCTGTATTCCTAGCACATAAAACAGTGTCTGTCATATAACAGGCACTCAATCAGTATTTGCGGAATGAAAACTGAATGAACCGGTGTACAATATAGGGGGGGTTTCTAAATGAACCCTGAGAGGCTGGGTGGCTTGGGGCGTTGGATCCTCTGAACAGCTCCATCCTGTGGCACCCCCACCATCTACAGGACCCCAGTCTCCCCTCTCCCTCCCATCCCACTCTGGAACTTTCCTTGATGGAAGCTCTTCCTTGGCTTGATTATTGGGTACTGATGTTTCCTGAATTCTGCCATGGCCCTCTGTGTCACGCTGTAGCTACATTCTCCCCAGGTGATGCCACCCAAGCCTACGGTTTTCCTCTAGGCCAGTGATGGCGAACCTATGACACGCGTGTCAGAGGTGACACGTGAACTCATTTTTTTGGTTGATTTTTCTTTGTTAAATGGCATTTAAATATATAAAATAAATATCAAAAATATAAGTCTTTGTTTTACTATGGTTGCAAATATCAAAAAATTTCTATATGTGACACGGCACCAGAGTTAAGTTAGGGTTTTTCAAAATGCTGACACGCCGAGCTCAAAAGGTTCGCCATCTCTGCTCTAGGCTCTTCTTGCTTTGGAGTGATGGAAAGAGGGGAGTGATGGAAAGAGGGGAGTGATGGAAAGAGGGGAGTGATGGAAAGAGGGGAGTGATGGAAAGAGGGGAGTGATGGAAAGAGGGGAGTGATGGAGAGGGAGGGAGGGAGGAGGGGAGGGAGGGAGGGAGGGAGGGAGTGATGGGAGGGAGGGAGGGAGGGAGGGAGGGAGGGAGGGGAGTGATGGGAGGGAGGGAGGGAGGGAGGGAGGGAGGGGAGTGATGGGAGGGAGGGAGGGAGGCAAAAGAAAGGTGTGGGAAAAGAAATCACTGCCACCCAAGATACAGTTCCATTAATATCAGTCTTATTTTACTAGATTCAAACTTTCAAGGGATTTGACCCTTGATTTCTAAAACTCAATGAAATATTGGCACCATAATATGTTTATTAGTCCAGGGCTCAAAATATCTAAGGCATTTCGTTTCTTAACCTGCATTTTTCGAAACTGAAAAGTGTGCAAGAAAGTCCACGCATGGAGCATGGCTATGATCTTGGTCCGTTTCTTGGACTCTCGTTAGGGTGAGCGCTGACCAGCAAACCCCTGTCCCCCTAGGTCTTCCCCTGCGAGAAGAGCCCCTGCTCTGGGTCCTGGGCTCTGTGCCCCTTCTTACTGATGGAGGAGTCGGCAGGGCCAAGGGACCCAACCTACCCATAGTCCATGCCCGCCACCTAGATCTAAGAATTCCCCTCCCACATGGCCCAAACCAACCCCAGGGCCTGGGCAGGGCTCTTTCCTGGGCCAGTGCTCTGCAGGGCACCGTGAGCTCAGGCCGGAGCGTGGCTGTGGGTCGCTGTTGGTAGAGGCACTGCTGCTGGAGCTCAGCCCACAGAGGCCCTTCTGGTGCTGGCAGCCAAGCACTTAGTGGGAGGAGAAGGGCCTGGAGGGAGCCCTGCCTGGGCTCTGCATTCCAGGGAGGAACTCCAGGGAGCCTGGGAGTTTCAACCTGAACCTGGCGTTCCAGGGCATTAGGAAGGCAGACCACATATTGAACATTGGTGGGTGTAATAATTCGTAAATACATAGACGTGCAGAATACGGGCCTCCATGTGCACTCCACTTGCCCCAGCTCTGCCAATGGCAGGGGCCAGG